CACACACACACGCATAGATATAGATAGATAAAAACAATTTTCGACGAAAGATTGGACGAACTCTCATATGAGAGACACTAACACCGCAGTTTGTTACAATTTCTAATTGTAATCGTTAAATAAAGTGACTATTAATAAGTGTGCCTGTGCCATTGTTTTATCGAGTATTAGTTATTGAGTTACTGCATAGAGCAGCTTTTGATGAACATTAGAAAAATGGAAGTATTAGAAAATAGTAACACATCTGAAAATAGTAATATACCTGAAAATAGTAATATACCTGAAAATAGTAACATACCTGTAAATTGTAACATATCTGTTAGGAGATGGACATATTTACTTATAAATCCCATCACAATGATATTCATGATCGCTTTTTCTATGTCAGGTAATAATTCGATATCTCTCATTTTAGTGCAATAGTTATGTATGTATAAACTTTTTGCAGGTAACATCTTGACAGACTTTATATTGTATCGTACTTGTACTATAACTATGGAAATAAATGAAACCAAATGTGATATGCTTTATAATAATAGCACTAGCGAAGAGATTCACAAAATTAAACTCATAATACAGCCAGAGACAGGCCATATTCAAATATGTAAAGCATTCATCGAAAGTGTTTTCCCCACGTTTCTGATTTTATTTCTAGGACCATGGAGCGATAAACATGGGAGGAAATTTATTTTAATTGCAACATATTTAAGTAATTACATTTTCTTAATAAATATTTATTGCAAGGGAATTTTATCGTTTTCATAAAAATGTTACATATCGTATTTGTAATAATTGATTAATATTGTAAAAATAAATAACTGATCAGAGATACAATAATTCAAATTGAACGATAAAAGGTCATGCAAATCAAATTATATTATGGTGCTCAATCTGTAACGATCTTTATGAAACAGCGTAGCTATTTTCGTAACTTCTAGAAGAGAAAGTTGATATCTGTTTATTATTTCTGTTGATATTTGTCTAATTTATTTAATTTTTCAGGTATATCTTTGACTTTTTGTATGCTCACCCTTATGTCTAATTGGCAAATAGGGCCTTGGTATTTCCTGATAGCCTATATTCCGTTTGCTTGCTCGGGAGGCATGACCGCATTATTGCTAGCTTCAACATGTTACATTACTGATATAACAAATGAAAATGAACGTGCGTGGTATTTAGCCTGGTTTGATGCTTTTTGCAATGCCGGCATGCTAATCGGATTGATTTCTGCTCCAGCGATACTTAAAGCATCCAATTATGTTATTGTGTTTTGCACTGCAGGTGCGCTCTGCACTCTGATGACAGTGTGCATAATTTTTATTCCGGAAACTAAACATCAGAGCGAAACTTACGTAGGTATTCCAAAATACATTTGTTACGATAAAATACATACATTAAGTCATTTTTCTGAAACAAACAACAGTAACAGCAGCTTAAAGGTTCTCACATCTATTTCTATTCAATATAAATTAACTTTAATCTCGATTTAATTTTGTTCTATGTCTTACTAAGAAAAAAAACAAATAGATAAAAAGTAAAAGATTAAAGTTAATCTATATTGTTGGAAATAGTTTGGAATGAACTGATGAATGTTTGTTCTAAATGAATAACGATTGTCACTTTTTTCTGCCTTCATAGAGTCAGATATTCGATTTTAAGTATTTAAAAGATATTTATAATACATGCATTAAAAACAGAGATGGATTCGATAGATGGTTAGTCTGGAATTGCATAGCTGGCCTCGTGTTTCAAGTGATTATTGTTCAGGGCAGTTTCGCTATCGGATATATGTTTGTAAGCGCACGATTTGGATGGACTGTAAAAGAGTATAACGAATACGTGGCTTTAAATATAATGATAACAGTACTCGGCACGATACTCGGTATTAAATTAATACCGAAGTACACAGGTATCAATGCAGCAATTGGGTATACATTACAACAATTTGTCAAGAACTTATGAAATATTTAAATGATTTAGGGCTCTCAGAACCGATGATCGCCGTAATATCCGTTATATCAGCTCTTTGTAACGTCATGACATGCGCCTTTGCATGGAAATCCTGGCACATGTATCTAGCTATGTTTATAGGAATATTTAGCGACATATGTCGACCGACGATTCGTGCTATTTTGTCCAAAAAAGTACCTGTAGAGGACATAGGTATGATTTTTTTGATTTTAATAAATATTTGATATTTTTCCTTTCCCTTTATCGATAAAATTGCCTCTAAAAGTAGTTTACAGTTAATCAGAAGGCTTATAAATCACTTTTAGAAGCAATTTTATAAAAGAGGATTCAGAATATGAGTCATTATCATTAAAAATTATAAAATAGAATATGAGCCATTATCATTAAAAATTATAAAATAGAATGTCAGATGCAAGAAATACATTTTAAAATAGATTTATTTCAATAGGGAAAGTTTTCTCCTTGACTATGGCAGTGGAGACCTTGATACCATTTCCGGCAATTTCTTTATATACATTCGTCTATAATAATTACATGCCACCTATATATCCTCTACCAGCACCGTTTTTATCAGCAACATTCTATGTCCTAATTATGGCGATATCGATATATATTCAAATGCGAATCAATGAACATACCAGGCATTCCGTTCAAGAACAAGAAACCATATCAACTATCAATGGCTCGGTTAATTAATAGTTGTTATCAAAAAAGAACAAATACGAAATGTTCATAAGATAAAGTAAAATTGAACGAGAAAATGATCCATGTCTACATTTTTGACGATATATAAAACTTTTTGTATACAGATTTTAAATTATATATAGATTTTATATTTAAGACTTTTTATATTATAAGTCTTTTCAGAGATATAAAATTTTTATATTATATATGTGTATATATGTTTATATATATTTATTATATATACATATATATATATATATATATATATATATATATATATAG